TAATAGTTTTATGAAAATGCATAAACAAAATTAATATAATACCAAATTGTTAAAGAAGTCAAAAATTTGTCTACTTATAAATTTTTTTGTTATAATGAATGTAGTAAAAATTAATTATTTCTTATATTTACGCGAACACTACACATTGAATCAAACTACTTTTGCGGATTTGATCGCGTTTAATAAACTTATTATTACTTATTTTTATTAATTCCCGACGTTTCGGGTGCTTTCCAGCACCCATGGTCATTCATTCATGGTTTTTTCAAATTTCAATAGCCTTTTGCTGGCTGGGTACTACTACCTGCTTGGGATCCTGTAATTAATAAAATTAAAACTAAACCCAAGCATACCACTACAAGACTTCAAGATACATTAAGTTCATTCTGCGACCAAAATTAATAATTAAAAAAGCTGAAGGTACTCCGGGTTAACTCTGACATCAGGACGTCAATCACCTCAGTCCCCCGTGACCATGGGTGCTGGAAAGCACCCGAAACGTCGGGAATTAATAAAAATAAGAAAAAATAAGTTTACTAAACGCGATAAAATCCGTAAAAATAGTTTCATTCAATATAGAAAAAATTGCTGAGTATTGTGTAATTTATCTAATAAAATTGCTACTTTTCTTAGCAATACAGAAATATTAGCTTCAAATTAAATTGATTGTTCCCGAAAATAATTGTATCGGATAAAAAAATTAGAACAAAATAAAAATAGGTACTGTGACTTATTCTTATTTATAGCACTCAACTAATATAAAAGGATATAAAAGTAATGAGTATATTAAAAATAAAAACTCGTTCTATTTTAAGATATATTTTTAGGGTATCTGGCATTTTATCTACCACCGGAATGATCTGGATTTTGGGACTATTATTAAAGAAATGTACTTGACACGCTATTAAATTTTCAGCGTGAGTCAAAAATATATTTTTTATTTTTTAAAAAAATATCTGTGGAATGGTCTGGTTCCCCGTCACCCCACTCAAATGATCTGCAATCGATATACTACGCTTATTACTGATAATAGAATACAATTTGTGTACCACTTTCGTAAAGGACACTTTTGAGCTATAAAACTAGATGGCTCAAATCCGTGCTCAAAATGTATCGCCAGCTCTCCGACTATTATACCAAATCACTGTGACAAGTTACACGATTGAACAGCACGTTCAAATGATAAAACTTTATTATCAAAATGAGTATTCGTTCGTGCAAACGTTGCGCGCATTGCGCCCATTTTACGATAGGCTTGGTTGCCCTTCAGAGTCGACTCTTCAACGATTGGTGGCCAAATTTGAAACGACCGGTTCGGTAAACAATCAGCCAACACCTGTACGTTCAAGGGATGCAAGGACGGCCGAGAACATCGTCGTGATTCGTGAAAGTATACAGCAGAACCCGAGGTAGTCGATTCCTCGCCGTGCGAACTCGGCCTTTCGCAGACTTCAACTTGGTGAATTTCGCGTCAGAACTTAGGCATACAACCTTACCAGATCTAACTGACCCAAGAGCTCAAAGTTCATGACAACGCCGTTTACCTGCTGACTGGAATCAACTTGGCGAATTTTGCGTCGGGACTTAGGCCTATATCCGTGCAAGATCCAACTGACTCAGAAGCTCAAAGTTCATGACCATAGACAATGCCCTTTTTTCGCTGGCTGGGCTTCGAAATGTTTGGAAGATGACCCTAATTTTGGCTGAAAAATCATCTTTAGCGACGAGGCACATTTTAGGATGTTAACAAGAAGAATTGCCGTATATGGGACGACACCAACCCACGCGAGGTTCACCAGGTGATAATGCATCCTCAAAAAGTTACAGTTTGGTGTGAATTTTGGGCTGGTGGCGTCATTGGTTCGTACTTTTTCGAAAACGACGCGGTGAGGCAGTCACAGTCAACGGCGAGTGCTACAGAATGATGGTAGCCAATTTCTTATGGCTCCAATTGAATCATATGGATCTAAACGACATGTAGTTTTAGCAAGACAGTGCTACGTGCCACATAGCGGATGACACGATTGACTTTCTTTATGAGCGATCTGAGTGTAAGCTTATCTCCCGCAGTGGTGATGTGAATTGGCCACCAAGGTCATACAATTTGACCCCGCTAGACTTTTTCTTGTAGGTTTGCTTGAAGTCGCAGGTCTAGGCAAACAAACCACAGTTAACTGATGTTAACTGATGCTCCAAAGGTGAACATAACACAGGCCATTGCTCAAATTCAGCCGGATCTAGTCATTGACTAGATCCGTCTAGAAATTGGACCACTCGGATCCGTGCCACTGTAAGAAGCCGATGCGGGCATTTGATCTATGTCATATTCTACACTTAATGGCCCTTCAAATAAATAAATAATTTTGTTAATACCTCACACACAGCTTGTTTTATTTCATTTTAACATCTACTCGACCTTATTGAAAAACTCTTTATTAATAATAATGTTTCCAAATTGAAGCCCACGCGAGCGAAACCACGGTTAAAAACTAGTACTTTTTATTCCAATGTACCTATCTGCAGAGTAATATCAAAAAACAGAGAAATAAAAATTGTATTTTTATGTGGTATACAGAATTTTCTGATACAGAACAAGATATCATAAGATATCTGATACTGAACCTCTTCTCTAGAAATAGTCAGGTACAGTCAGGTGCTGCAGCAGATGACAAAGGATTAGGTAAACTTGATTCTGAGCCATGAGTGCTTAGAATTTAAATTACACAACCTACAGTAAGTTATAACGTATTTCACATAGTTATTTTTAGTTTATAAAATTATTTTTCTTACGCAGTTATTGAATCGATGGGATAGCAAGGAGGAAAGGGCCTGATGGACCATGGTACTTTTGAATCGAGCGGTCCCCGGCGGCCCGGCGGCATCAAACCATGCCACGGTACTGCATTGAACTCATAATATTTTAAATGTAGAAATAAGTTGAAACAGATGAACATTCGTATTATTAAGTTTATTTAAATAGACATTTATATTAATTACATTTTATAATTTAGATTTTCCAAAATTTTAATTTTTGGTATCTATTTAACACTGATTGAATAATTATAATTATGTTAAACCTAATGTTACAAATTTCGGTACATTTTTTTTCAAACATTTAGGTACACAGTAAATATCACCTACAAAAATTGAACAAGTTAGAAATAGTATAGATTTATCAAAGGGCTTATTTTAATAATGTGTTGTTAATTTTAACGGCAGTGATAATCAAACCTCACATGCATTTTGGTTCACGGAATACCTACTCTCCAAATTATGTTGCCGCCATATTGAAAATTAATACAATTAGGGCTTTGTTTGATTCTAAGTTATATTTTATTTACTAAGAATTAATTTTAACATTAAAATATAATAATAAACCAGTCAAAAAACTCCATCTACAATCACTCAAAATCTCACGATAAGCACACATAACCCTCTGAATCAATAAATTACGTTTTTACCTTATTGTTAATTACAAAATAATAAATATATTTTAAATAATTTTATGACCTATAGTATTATACAAAATTCATAACATAGAAATGATATTACGAGTAGTGGCCCATAAATGTACCATACAAACCGGTACAAGCCTAAAATGTAAAATTAGACAGCTTATAAAAATAGATTGCACAAATTACTGTTACGAAAATATTTGTAATGAAGTGTTTAATGCAACACAGTTAAGTGATCAACGATATTTTAACTTGGCAATATTTAGAGAAATATCAAAAATTTTAAATTGTCATGAATAAAGTAGCCAAACTTTCTTCATGACGATATTTATAAATACACCAAAATGTTTTAATTCGTCACAATTCTAGTTTTTTTTTTAACTACAATAGCTAACTTTAAATAACTTATAGTTATATTATTCGTGAATATGCTAATTAAATATTAGCGCTAAAGAGGTGTGCGATGAAGTTATAACATTTCTTTTTATGGCCCCTTGCAATTTAAAATGTAAGACAACTGTAATAATATTGAATTAATCTGTAGCAAGCAGTTTACTGCGATCTAATTTCCACATACCATTGTATCTCTCTACATTTAAGTACATTAAAATCGATATAATCATATATTTCGAATGTAATCTAATACTTAATGTACCTATATTCGTACCTATTGAATTTTTGTTAGAATTCTACTTGCTTATCTCAAATAATATGTTGGCCAATAAATCTTCTGAAAAATAAATATAGCGATATTCTATCATTAAAACATTCTACGAATTAGAAGTACCTACCAGACACACACTGCATTTTTAATTGAAATAAATTCATTATAATTTTAGCTGTGCTGCGTTCCACTTTCACCAGAAATCTGATAAACAAGAAATGTAAAATATTGTCAATTTGTGTTAAATCTTACCCTAAAATCATGGCACAAAAATTATGTCTAACAAAGGAGGGAACACTTCACAACTGGGAATTACTCGTTTATCTGTTTTCGTTTAGCTGAGTTTAGCTTATTTTCAAAAAGATAATTATCCAAAAGTTTCATTAGAATTAGAATAAGTTTCCAAATATGAGCAAATAAGTTTACGTATTATTTAATAAAATTATATATTGTTTTTATTTTTAACTTTGATATAGATTTCAGATTCAAGTCTCCACAGTCAGTCTTGCGAAAAATCTAATTTGTATCAGGGAGAAGTAAAGTAAAGCATGGAATGTAAGAATGAGAAAATATGATTAAGTAGGTAGAATAACAACCAACATAATGAATCGAGTACGCGCAGTAGATATTGTTGTTATGACGTCATTAGTTATACATTCCGGGAGAGCAATCAATGTATAATCCAAACACTTTTTAAGTATGAAATCCAGTCCTAAAACTATTTTCTTACGACGAAAGAGAGAATTGAAATCTAGCAAGAAACTTGCTCTAAATATAAAATTGCTGTCCCGGATTAGGACGAAATCGATAGAATTCACCCTAATTAATGTAGGGTTTTAATGCTCAAAGTTGGATTCAGAATCCATTTTAGTATTTCCAGTTCACTCCAATCGTGCTTTGTAACTAGATTTCCAAATCTCGGCTAGAGTAACAGCCGAGTGAAAACGATGGAAGATACAAAGCGGAAGAGTGAATCGTTGAACAAGCGACCAAGCTACGAAACCGTAGAAGTCCAGTTGTACCTGTGAAGAAGAAAATAACGTTATATATTCATTATTTAAGTTTTATTTTATTTCAATTTGTCAGAATTAAAATATTCGGACCAGTAAATTATGTACACAAAATTGTGATTAAGAGAGAAGCTCTTTAATTGAATGTATTTGTTGTATCGGCTTAACAATAATTTCGCCAACTTCTTTTGGTATCAAGTCATACGATGTAAGTAGTTGTAAATTAAGTGGACTGTTCTCTCTCTCTCTATCTCTACTTGATGACAGTCGTCTGCAGTTCGTGGCATCGTTAGATAAGTAATTACTATGTGTAATGTGGTCCATAATCGTGCAAAAACTTCTTTCCAATTTTTATGAATTTTATGTAAACAAATAAGGGAGCAGTGTAGCTCACCGTAAGGTTTCGCGGCAAGAGAGCAAAACGTGTACGATTCCCGCGTGAAACTGTTAAGTTTTCGGTGGTGAAGTATATATAATATCTTGGCGAAACCCAGATGATTGATAAGTTAAAAAAATCATAGGCATTTGAGAACAAATAATATCCGCGTTACCGAAATTGGGGTCTGGACAAAATTTCGGTCACGCCGGCCAGTCTCAAGGAAGAGTAGCCATCTTCCCAGGTCAGAATTACAGTGGCCGAGTGTACGCGCAAGCACAGATGCACTTTCTATACCGTCACTCTTGTAGTACGATGGGACCGAAATCCCACACGACCGGCAAGCAATCAGGCGCAGGATCAACAACTTTACGTGCTTTCTAAGGTATAGGGGTGAAACACCGGCAACTTTCTGACTCCAAGCTGTTGTTCAGAATTTCTTGATAGAAAAACTCAAAAGCAGATTTTTGCTTGACCGAACCCGGTACCTCATAACCGGCAGCCGCGTTTACGACCATTAGACGAACGAAACAAAACACTATAAGTAATTAGGATTCACCTACGCCGTCACTGCATTCATGCGTCACTGTTTCATGAATTTAGTTCTTCTCACGTTTCCCTTAGAAACCTTTAAAATCTACTCAAACGGATCTATTTTATGGTGCCAAATAACATTCATTGGGGCGAATTATATGAATCAAATATCGCCAGTAAACATAATGCAGTGAATTAAAAGAAGACCATGCAATTCAAGATTACTTTATCAAAATTAAATTAATTTTAATTTTAAATAAAAGTTAAGAATATAATGTAAATAACACAATTTTGACTCTAAGACAATTTACCCTTCATAATGATTCATCAGAAAACATGCCCGATATATAAAGTTATAGCGACTGTTAGACACTCGAAAGATAAATTCTAGTTACTCATAACGCAATTCTGTATATTAATGAAATTCTAAAAACTCACTTTTGTCTTTCTGTATATTGTGACGCTTCATTATAATTATTAATAAATATTAGATTCATTAGAAAGACATTTAAAAATGTCTTAGAAATTATATTTTAAACAATAAAAATGCAATAATAAGCATACAGTTCAAATATATTCATTTGGAATATTGAATATCATACTATATTAAACGCATAAAATTGTCTTTAAAAATCTCAAATTTATAAAAATTCTGTTTAAAATATTCAAAATGTGTTAAAAAATATAAGTACAAGTTGATTATATTGCAATTATAAAGATAAAGAACATTTGTAATATAATTGAAAAATAGGATCACAATTTTTTGACAAAAGTTGATGAAGGTGTTCTTGTAATATTCTCTTTTTAGAGAGGCGTTGCCGGAGACAAATACCCAAGGTTGTACATATATATGGGGTGATCGGCTGACCGACTAATACTACTACCGTTGCACAATGACTAGTCCTACATTAGGGACTTATAATAGTAAGGTCTATGATACAAAAGCATTAATACGAGTATAAACGGCATCTATGATGCATAAGCATTATGATAGCAGAGTTATGAATTGAAGTCCCGTATGTATAAGACATATAATAGTATGGTCTATGATATAAAGCAAATATGTGGAAGGTCTCAAATATATTGAAAGAAATGGGACTTGAAAAGAATTATTATAGTGGCGTGTAGATTGCTTCACAGCGTCCGAGGTCGAGGTAAACTTGGACTCGCAATGTGTCCTATACATATCATCTTAGTGCCGGTGGTAAGCGGGTTTGTTGTAGCAATAAGACTTGCCCGTGGACATCGCACACCCCTACTGCTTGTGGGCGGCGTCTTAGCGCATAGCGTTATGATAAGTCGGCTATCCTTCGGATTAGGGTGAGTGTGTTTGGTAGTACTTTTAAGTGCAGCAAACATACTCAACTCCATGTCTTAGTGCAATAGCGCTATGATACGTGGAGTTTTGGCTACTGACGTCTTAGTAGCGTGCTACTATGATACGTTGGTGGTATTTTTAGTTAACAACATTGTCAATTTTGTTACCAAAGTCGATAGGGATCATGTGGGTGTGTTGTGAGGGGGTACCATCCGTATGATAATTGCATTGATCCTTATGCGTCTTGTGAAGGATCTGCGGGTGTGCTGCACCTGATTCGAGGCATGTCGTGATTCTGGTCGACGGAGGTATGCGGGTGGTGATATCTGCTGGGACTGTATGGAGGACCTTGGGATGGTGTAGCCGACGATAGTCGTATTGATGCTTGTTAAAAAAAATTAACTAATTCTTATTCTTAAGAGATTTCTAATTCTAATTCTTAAGAGGTTTAAGAATATCCACAACCCCATATCGACCTGACAGAGGGAAACTGAAACAGGAGATGGGCAGCAGCATCTTCCTCATAACAACTTAAAATAAAAAAAAAACTGCAGTTGCCAACCTGCCTGTTAAGCGTGGCAACGATAGCAAAATTGTTGTGATGAATGGATGATTTTGATTGTCAATATTAGTTCTTCCATTGTCTTGTGGTGTCTGCCCATTTCCTATTTTGAGATATTTCGGACTTTACCCTAGAAAACGTAGAATATTTTCTAAAATTTAGAAACTTAACTCACCTTTGGTAATAAAAAAAATCTCTAAATGACAGTAGAAACCGTATAAAACCATGTTGCGTAGTTTAGACGTAAGCGGAAAAATAGAAATGATGAGACAGAGACGGATAGGTAGCGATTTAATACTGTTTAGATATTCATTAATATCAAAATTTCGTTTAACTTTTTATATTTATATATTTAGACAGATAAAATAGATGAGAACCAGACAGAATAAAAGTGAATGTTTAAAAGTTCTACTTTATACTATATTGTGCAGAACAGTTCAAGAATTATTTATTTCGCTGAACCATGATAGAGCTTCTATCGTATTAGATATGATTTTTTTATTATTAATTCAGGCAGGCAAGAAGAAAAGAATTCGTAGTCTAATTACTAATTTTTTAAACGTTAACATTAATTTTTTATACGTGGTAGAGCAACACTCGCAACACAAATAGATGACGGCTCAACAGGGATGGGGGACCACGCTCTCACTGAGTATCAGCCTAAACTAATATCATGATACTGCTATTTTTCGTATGATGAGTGACAAGAACTGAAGGCACCATTTACTGTTATCAAGACTTTTCATGTTAGTCTCCAGGTGTATCTGCATGTCGACTCTTAATCTATACGAATAAATAAAATTGAAGTGTCTGTTTGTAAAGTCGAAATTACAACATTTTACTAAATGCATATGAAAGTTTATACGGTATTTATAACTAAAACACAAATTTTAAAATGTGTGTCTGTCTGCCTGTGTCTGGTTGTTCCGGCTAATCTCCGAAACGGCTGGACCGATTTTGACGGGACTTTCACTGGCAGATAGCTGATGTCATAAGGAGGAACTTAGACCACTTTTATTTTAGAAAAAGAATTATGGTTCCGCGTAAAATAATGAAAACCCCAAATAAAAAAATCGCGGGGAACATCTAGTTGATTATAAATGAGGGACACATTTATCGAGTAGCGGCGGTGTAAGAATAGCTACCACCCCATATCATCCCGTGTCGTAAGCGGTGACAGAAGGAAACGAATTAGAAAATTGGCACCAGAGTCTTCCTAGTAACGACTTAAAATATAATTTAAAATTAAAATTTTTGTACAGCCGACTTCAATATAAGTTATTAAGAATAACTCAAAAACTATTGGCCTGACCTTGATCAAATTCGTATCTTGATCACACGAGAAGCATCAAATAAAAAAAGAATCATCGAAATCGGTTGACCCCGTAGAAAGTTATGAGGTAACATACATAAAAAAACATACAGTCGACTTGAGTACCGTCTCTTTTTTCAGAAAAACTAAGGTTGTCAATCTGCTTGCCGAGCGTAGAAACTATGGCAAATATCCCCCCTACTATAAGACAATCAAATTAAATGTGTGGGAGGTATATGTTCAGCAGTGTACACCTACATACCCCAACATTCGCTTATGATGCACTGTGTGCTTGTTTGTCATTCCTAAGTCAATAAAAAGTCAGAGTTTGTTGCTACGAGAGCTGTTGCCGTGATCGAATCAATCAGCTACGAGGGCATCCTCATTTCATGATCAGCCTGAAGAATCAGTTAACCTACGTTACCAATTCTAACGTGGTAGAGCCATGCTGCATCTTTATTAGTAGTATAGTTGTAGCACGAATGGGTCGGCTCGACTGGGGAAGGACCACGCTCTCACAGAAAACCAGCGTAAAATAGCAGTTTGACGCTGCTGTGTTTCGTATGGTGAGTGTAGAGAACAAGAGACCCTTTTTACTGGCAAAGAGGCATTCCATCTTGGTCCTCAAGTGTGACAACGCATCTGCGTCTTGAGTCTTTATTGAGGATAGATGTAGATGTCTATGGGTCACAGTAACCCCTTACCATCAGGTGGACTGTGTGCTCGATTGTCACCCTATCCTATAAAAAAAAAACCAAATTATAGACATATTCACCGGGTTAGCCAAGACTTTTTGTGCCTCGAAGGTGTAAATAAGCCACATGGTAACGTTGCAGATGAGAAGGAAGGTAACGGCTTGACGTGCAGGCTTGCTACGCTCTTGCTCGGGTAAGTGCACACGGCGACGGGAAACATCTGCTATGAACAGCAGTTGAAGTATGACCTGGAATTGTTAATTTTTTAATTAAGAATTATTATAGTAACGAAAATAGAGCCAATGTTTAAGATTCTGCATGTAAGGAAGCAAATCGGGGTTAGGTTGAAAAGTAGTTTTATCATCATTGTCGTCAGTAAGTTCACAATTGGACAAAGGCATGTTTATGTATGCGTCAGAAGGAATTCATTTCTTGAATGAATTGCCCCTTTTCACCAATCTAAGAAGACGAATTTGTGCCTCACTCTAGAAATCCTGCTGTCCCGGTTGCGCATTGGAGCCGGAGTTTATACGTGGTAGAGCCATGCTGCAGCTATATTAATAGTATAGTTGTAGCACGAATGGGTCGGCTCGACCGGGGAAGGACCACGCTCTCACAGAATACCAGCGTAAAATAGCAGCTTAATGCTGCTGTGTTTCTTGTGGTGAGTGTAGAGAAGCGGAGACCATTTTTACTGGAAAAGAGGCATTCTATCTTAGTCCTCATGGCTGACAACGCATCTGCATTTTAATTCGCAAACGAAGATAGATGTAGATGTCTATGGGCCACAGTAACCACTTACCATCAGATGGACTGTGTGCTCGTTTGTCACCTTTGTTTTTATTCTATAAAAATAAAGTTCAATTAAAACCAGACCCGAAATTTTTAATTTACGCCGTTCCGATTGTGCAGTGATTGTCACACATGAGTGTAACAGAAACAGAAACAGAAACTTTTTTATTCAATATAGATTATAAATAATATTTATTGAAAGTCACTGTTTTGTTTGATTAGCACTGGTTCGAAAAAAACCTCTGTCCTGGGAAGAACCAGCAAGAAACCCAGCGGGACTTTTTTTTTAAATAACAGCTTACAATCATGATGTTACACAAATTAACAACACAACAAATTAGAAATAGCTTGGTAGCGATCACCTCATTTCCAGGTGTTATTATCATCCATAAATTCCTTAATATTATAATAACCCATTTTATACAAACTTAGTTTAATAAAGTTTTTGAACTTTGAGCAGGTCAAACTTTGTATATTTTCTGGAATTTTGTTGTAAAAGCGTATACATCGCCCCAAGAATGAATTACTGACTCGATGGAGTCGAGTAACTGGTACTACTAGCTTGTGTCTGTTCCTAGTATTTACATTTTTGTGTACGTATATTACATTTTCATGAATGTATTTTTCATAAAATACTGCACCCTACTCTACTTCCGAAATTATTGCATGAGAGCACTGGTCGCTTCGATTAAGTTAGTCTGCACATCACACTTGTGATACCTTATTATATCCTTTATTATACTAATTTATTATATAGTTTAAAATATTATACAGAAATCGTCACCGTGGTCAAACGTAGTCTAGAGAACAATGTCAACATGTATAAACGGATCGAATATTAAGAATCAAAAATTAACAATTCAAATATCATGTAATGATTTAGGCACTTACCTGAAGTACGCTCAGACACCCGGTAATCATCACGAGCAGGTTTGGTTCGTGAGTGAAAGCGCCCATTCCACCGGCGATGACGCTGAACACAGCATACAAGAAGAGTCCAAAAGCAGAAACACGGAGCAAGATGTCATTCAAGTCGGATTGTTCTTCAGAGCGGAACTTCAAAGATTGCACCCTGCGAAGTGGCTCGGTATAGGAAGGAGGATTGGCGCTCCATTTTAGTTTACGAACACTTATAATTTTGTAATAAAAATAAAAACCAAAACGGTAACAGAAAAGAAAAATGATTAATAAAGAATCACGTTTAACGGGACATATGGTATTTAAATACGGGAATTAACATAAGTAACAAAACATTTAGTTTAAAGTAATGGCAATCAAATGGACCAACCGAAAAAACGTTGGAAATAAAAATTTATTAGATTTTAAGTTTAAAAAAAAAGAAGTATCAAGGAAACAGCCATTGTATCAATTAAAGTTTTAAGAATTTCAGGAACGGCACCGTGTTAAACGTGCAAACGAAAGTATTGGAAAAAAAGAATCGGAGCAAACAGGCGGGTATAGGGAAAAGGATAAAGCAATTAACAAAAATTAATATAGATAAAAATTACAGACTTATATCAAAAACAAAAAAAAAATACAAATTAAAAAAATATTTTAAATAACAAATTTTATTGCTTACCGTATAAATCCAATCAAAATTGCCAAAATGGATAGGATCATAAGCGCGCAGTGTGATACATCGGCCAGGTAAATCGATAGGCGTTTTAGTTCCTGATGCCTGATCAAGACGAAGAAGAGAATCAAGCAGATAAGTGATGCGACTAAAAGCAGCAATCCACAGAAAAGGCCCTTGGATGCGCCTGCACAGTCCACACGATTGCCTCGTTGAGCGGCCGCTAAAGCCGCTGCCCTGCGGGAGAGAACAGCTTCCAGACGTCTTTCCAGATCTTCATCGTTCGCCACGCTGCAACCAAATGCGTGTGTATACACGTCATTATACGCGAGGTTTGCTTTATATAATCGGTATACTATGACTTTTGTTATTGATAATTGTACATTAAATGTCTAAATTAGTTTATTTATAGATTTACTGAATATAAAAGAGATTTATTTAACTTAAATGCTGATAGTGTAAGGATGAAATGCTATTGGTTGCATCGCTACTGAAGTTGAACTACAAAATTTAATGAAACATGTAAACATAAATACACAATTTTTACCTTGGGTATCTCCCAATATGTTTCCACATGACATAAATAACAGCTGCTCCGATAAGTGAATATTCAATAATGAAGGGGTAAAGGTACGGAGCAGAATCGGTGACAATAGTACCCATGATAGGATTCCTTCCACATACTGTTGAATTATCAATATTGGCGATCAAGGCAGCTGGGTTCAAAGTGTCGAAAGACTCGAAGACTTCTGTTGAGTTGTTGGCTGAGAAAGAGAAAATAATTAAAAATTGTATGTGATTACATATTTTTAAATTTATTAAATATTGATAAAAATGGAAGTAAGGGCTAAATTAAAGACGGCACATGCGGCAAAACAATATACGATAAACTTAAGACGTTGCATGTGCAATCACTCAATCACATCAATCCACTAATGAAACATAACATAATCGCAAATAAACTGTGCAACGGTGGCGAACAAAACGTGATGGCAGAACACTCCAACGACAAACCTGGCACATGAGGTGGTTCATCAACGCGATACTTTTGAATGCTATTGCCCCATTCATCTTTGTCAGTTACGTAAGGTCCAGGTGTGGAAGCGACCATTGTTGTCATGGTGCTGACAATTGGTTTCAAGGTTGAAGTGTAAAGCCATTGGAAAACTTCCAACATGGCCGTTTGAGTCTGAGTCACTTTTCCGTTCTGCGACGTTATTGGTGCAATAGTGGACGTTGTTGTGAATGGGTTATCATTAGGCCATGATTCTTGCCCGTGACCATAGCCCATATCATTTCCGTAACCTACTGTGCTTTTTATAGTATCAATTATTTTCGATTGTGGCATGAACCCACCACCGGCATTATAATATGGTGAAAGAGTGGCCGCTGAAAATTTTGTTTGAATAATGCGTTAAATCACACATACATGCAAACTACATGTGTTATTTGTTATTATAGATGATGATGATAATATTATAAAGACACTATTGGAAACACCAGAATTGTGGTAACATTAATAAATAAATATATTTCTAGACACTTACTGGTAGTTGAAGCCGTGGTAGGATTAGCAGTTGTAACGATGCTTAGTATCTGATCACTAGAACTCTTAGCCATGGAAACTGCCGTGGACGCAACTGTTGTCGCAGCACCAAATACTTTACCAGAATGCCTTAAGGTGTGCTTTCGGATGACTTCTAAACATAAATACATTAAAAATTATTCATATTATTCATAATATAAATATTATACCACGTGATGACGTATGTCAACTTGCGATGTGTAAGAGAAGCCATTATCTCTAATCCTATAGGTGTCGCAAGAGGCGACTTACGAAAATATCCAAAAGATCTTATAGCCTTCGTTAGTGGGCTAATAAGTGTTTATACTGGTAAGATATGATCAAATCTGCTAAAAGCTTGTTCACGTAAACACGCGGGCGTGGAGGCGGCATTAGACTCCGTGGTTAGGGTGAGCTCGTGTTCACGTTGGCCGTCAGGCGTTTGTGCGAGTATGACGTGTTGTCAGTTGTTGTGAACATAGTCGACAAACTTTTATTTTTAATCGAAAATTCTTACCTAAAGTGGGAGATGGCAAAAAATAGAATTGGTGTGCACAAAATTAATAAAGACAGAGAACTGATAGAAGGGAATCATGCGAGGCGAGTCCATTGGGTTGACCATTCGTTGATCGTTTGCAAAGTTCAAAATTGTTGATTTTACCTGAAGCCTCGAGTTAATCGCGCGCTCCACCGCTAGTTCGACATGAACACACACAAACAATTTCATACGTTTGATATTGTCGCGAGCGCGCCGTGTGCAATAGTGGCAAGCTTGCCCGCTACTTTCACCTCAGCTGTGTTTTGTACGTGAATATATAATTCTATGTGTTTGATATTTCGTTACCGTGCCCGCTACCGCTCCCGCTACCGCGCCCACTACCGCGCCCGGTAGCGCGCCCGCGAGTTAACATGAACAAGCACTAAACGTGTCGTTGCAGATTCTTTTTACTTTAAGAAAGACCCATGTCTAGCAGTAGACTGGTTACAGCTTGATGAAGGTGATGAAAAAATTTGAATATACTTACTTCCAAGTATGCCTTCCCCAGGAACACCATGAGGATTCTTAACATGGTAGTCAGTAATCTCTTTTAGAGATTCTAGTACAAGAGTGCGAATCCATACACAAATGTTGGTAGCAACAACGTGCATTAAACCAAACCGGGCGATTACCTTGAAGCGGTGAATATTCAACTGTAAGAAGAATGGCCGTTATTGTATTATATTTTCCATTTACCATTATATTGCGTTGACACTACTAAACACTTACTCGCGAATTCATGAAAATAAAATACATTTGCATAAATGTAAAAACCATCTGCAATACTGGATTGATCCCTTTAAGGATAAGGTAACAAGGTGATTCTAATGGTAATTCGAAAAATGTTCCAAATTCCAATCCATTATAGATCATGGTTCCGAGGCCGAAGGCTGTAACAACAAAATAAGTAAACATTTTAATAATATGACGCATAAGACATATAAAAATGTAGAATAAGTAGAATAAATAAATCAAGGAAATAAAGATTCATCACCAATCTTCGATTATACTATAATAATATTATTTCTGTCCAAAGACCCTTTCAAATGAGAATTGGCATCTGTAACGTCGGTAAGCTACTTTATATTTACCGTATTATAAAATAGGATGTTGTCACAAATGAAGCAAAAATTTCAAAAAATAATATTAAAGAAAAATTTATAGAAAGATGTTTCAAGAATTGTGTTATAATAATAAGGTTTAAGTATTTAATGTAATAAGCATATGTCATGAAACAAAATACGATTTAAAAAAATACTTAAATCCAAATCTTTACAATTTTATTAAAAACAAATAAAGTATTAAATTACCAATTGCGCCTATTCTTAAGAAGAAGCTACCGTGGCTGTGATCATTCTGTGAAGTTTTTCGCCGGCGCATTGGCCTCGCCACAGGCCCCGCTTCTAGCTCCACCACATCTTGTTGCTGAAAAATAAAAGGTAATCTCAGACCTCAAAATTAGATCAAAAAATTGGTGTAAAGCCTCTTTCCACAATATTTAAAAAAAAATTATAAACCATAAATTTAATTAAGATTATTAGTAAACTAATATAAAAGAGTAATAAAATTTAATTCCATAAAGTTTCCAACATTCGGAGCAAAATTAGTGTCTTTTTTTGAATACAGGGAGTCGATGTTGTTAAGATTGGACGCTGAGAAAACTGTCTCTACTAGAAAAGCATCGTCTTCAGTCTTAGTTCGAAGAAGCAAGGGGGAATACATTAGCGGACAAAACACAAGCGAAATGATCGGCAACTAAATGAACTAAAACAGCACATCCAAAGCTCGGTAATGGTAGTTTTGTCAAGCAGGATGCGTCATTTCATAATATGCCTCACCTGTTCAGACGCATACAATTGAGCCATTTGCATTTGTAATTGTTGTTGACGAACTTTATCACGCATCTTACGGGGATACACCTCCTGCCCAAATGATATGGAAAAACAAAAAAGTAGCCAGCGTAAACAGAAAAGGGATCATGCGGCCAGACACGTCCTAACAAAGCACTTTATATAATTTATTTTTGTGAGAAGCTAAAAAAACGTAAAAATGATAAACATGGGAATAATAATTGCTTTTTTTTTACACTAATAAAATTGAGTTGTTAAGGAACACAACATTACGATGGGAAGCGAACCATGGATGATATAAGGTTAAAAATAAAATTTGTATGTGCTGGTGATATTGTTTAAAATAACAAAAAATATCACTGACCTGAAACTGACTTTGTTTCTTGCTTTCTTTGTTCGCTTTATCCTTTCCGCTTTCCTTATCTTTATCCTTGTCCTTTGATTTACCATCTTTCTTACCATCTTTTTTCCCTTCTTTTCCATCTTTGCCTTCTTTATCTTTGGTCTTCTTTTCTTTTTCTTTCTTGGGTTTCTTCTCTTTTGGTGGAGGCTTCGGTTTTGGTGGACTACCGTTACAGCAGGTACTTTCTATAAGAAACAAGTAAAATAAATGTTTTCAAATGATGATACATTTAACAACGAGCTGACTATATATTTACTCACCTTGTAGTAGGAAACAGAAGACGTACAGCAAGAATAATATGCTCATGCCATATAGGTAGGTGAAGAAACCTTCGTAGTAGTAAAGTGGGAGGTTGTGGGTAATAACATCACTGATGACATAGGCAATGCAAACCACAACCAGAAGCTTCGCGTAAATAAAACTTGAAATTATAAATAATGAGGTTCTGAAACAAAAAGAAATAAACTTCAACATATTTAAAACCGTAGTAAGTAAATCGAACTTAAAATAACTTTGTTATTTTTGAATTCATAGAACAAGTTCACTTTACTAACGAATCATAGGCGAAAAGTCCTCACCTCCCTTTGTACTTTGTCGTAAGCTCGACTCATAGAGATTACCTCAAGCATTAAATACGCCTATTTCGAGTATACCGTTTAGGTACTTAAAGTTGAAATAAATAAATAAACAAATAAATAAATAAATAATTTCGCCTTATATAAAATAGACAAACTTAAATTCATTAATTTAAGATACATTTAAACTAAAAATAGCAAAATTATGCCAATACCATTGACTAAAACTATTTTTTCGAATTTTTTGCATTAATTTAACTTATACGATGGATATTTCAAATAAATAAAAATAAACGCGACAGATACATTAAAAATAGTTTAACTAAATTATTTCACGCCGATACACCGAAAAGAAAACTGATGAAAATATTCAACATACTTCTTCGAGGGCTTTGGCTGAACACATTTTAACTCCATCTCTTTGTTAGTAGTGTTATGTTTTTCAGCGATCGCGATATCGCTACCTTGCTGACGATGTTGACCTACAGGAAGAGTTGCCATGTTGTCCACGGCTTCCAGGTCCACAGTGGCCACTTTGACCTCAGTCTCCATTGGATGCTTGTCTTTCCCCATCACTCACACTTCACTCACAGTTAGGGAAGATTAAATGGTAGTTCACGAGAGCATAGCGAGGTAAAACGGGTTAAAGATGTAGGTAAGGGCGGGACTACGGCTGGTAAGGAGCTTTTTAAGGTAAAATAGCTCCGGAAGTACGAAGAAACGGTGTCGAGACCGTGCCTCCAACTTGAGTGCGTCGAGAGTTGCGCAGTTGCGGATGCTGCGCGTTGAAGGACGCGAAAAACAGGGGCGGCACGAACCCTCCCGAAAACACCCTATTTCACATAAATTGCACTCGTAAACAGCATTGGGGGACGTTATTTGTTGAAATTACGTCTTTGATGCCAACGAAAGGGTCGAGTCCAATAGGTGGCTGAATTGCATGGGTGTTATAAAGTCATGCACGCGCCATGGTTGGCGTTAAGGGGGCTTATAATTCAAGCGCGATTAGAGAGTTTCATCAATAAAAATCCATTTTTTATGTACCTTTATTATTTAAAACGAGACATTGAAAATAAATAAGTAGTACCAAAATTGTATTTAAATTCTGGGTGAAAAATAACTAAGTTGTGGAGAATAATTAATTTATAAATTTATCATCCGTTTTAACATTCACATTGTGCCTGCGTGACAAAAACTCGGATCGTACATATAAGTGTAATAACAAAATCAACTTTAAAGAAAAATTGGTAAAGATAACAAATATAATAATTGTAACTACGTTTCTGGCAACCCTAAAACGAGACGCCAGCCGGTCGATAAAGGCGCGTCTCCCAGAGCTTGGGAGGCTGCGCGCGCGACCCAGTGACCCGGCCTTTGTCCCTCAAAACGCCCGCGAAAAACGCCCTCAAGTTACTGCGCATTTTGTGAAAGCACTAACATCAAGGATCTTCCTTTAGAAAAGGACATAGATTAATAATTGCTAAAGATATTCATGCGAGGCTACTTACATGAAGTGTGCCTACCTTTTGCTTTGTTAGAGGTCAATGAACTGGATATTTATAGCAAGTTCTACGTAATAGGTAGTTATTCTAGATACGTGACTTACTGATCTAAATGCTTACAGCTATGTATATTGTAAGTGTGGCTTTTTTATGGGCGAGAGACTTCGACTGCAATCATGCATTTACGTTAATATGTAATTTTCGAAGATAAGCATAATACCGTATGTTAACTATGGTGATAGCTCAAGAGAATACATCACCTAATTTCGCCCCGTGGGCGTGATTAATATAAGAAATGTCAGTAAGATCTAGTAGTCTCTGAAGTCTTACTTCTTACATCTATATGTATAACACCCTCGTATATATACTAAATTTAAATGAAATACGATCGCCAAACTACCTGTCAAACGTGGCGAATACGGCATATCTCCCTAAAATGAGAGGAGGTTCATTTCCAGTCGTTTACCGTCGTTACAGGTTGCCAATTACGGTTGTGGCCGGTGGAAGGAAAAGTGGAGATCTCCCGCCGGGCAAGGTGCTACCCGGGGAGCGGCCAACGCTCCGGTTGGTATTTCGGAGCTATTCTATATATGCTGCTTTAACTTCAGAACTTTGTTAGTGTGATTTAGGCTTCGATGTGTTTCGCTTGTGGCGCAACGACAGCGCCGTCACATCACCCCCCTACTCAGACCGGAGTTCGATAGTGTAGTCCGATTGCCGGTGCGTCCTTAATGCCGGTGGGGAATGCGTGCTGTGTGCGTAAGGGCAAGTGACGCCGGTGCGAATGATGTAGGTACCGGTGTATAATCCATGCCGTACTACGCACTTGCAAGTGATGCCAGTGAGATCGATGAACCGGAGCAAGTGCCAGGGGATGGCCTTGTAGTCTGCGGTGAGTCGAGAAGAAGGCGAATAAAGTGCGAGAGTGCCGTGAAGCAGAGGCGAGCAATAAGGCTCAGAGCCGTGTCGAACACTGTAGCGCAGAGAGTAGCTTGAAGAAACAGGAAGCATAATTATTCCAGTGCTACGATGAACCTTTGTAAAGCTAGATGACTTGCAGAATGTGAAGACTGCAGACAATATCTGCTCGGGAGTGAATGAATGGGGTATTTGAGGACGATGACGAAAGGTTTGAAGTTGTAGTTTCCGAAGGTTGTTGGTTGCGTGTTCATATCACGTCGGGGTCACCACTGTACCCGGTGGAAGGAAAAGTGGAGATCTCCCGCCGGGCAAGGTGTTCTGCCTGGGGAGCGGCCAACGCTCCGATTGGTAGTTCGGAGCTATTCTATATATGCTGCTTTAACTTCGGAACCTTGTTAGCGCGATTTAGGCTTCGATATGTTTCGCTTGTGGCGCGACGACAGCGCCGCCACACGGTAAAGCATTATATTCAATCATAATCAATCGCCATCAATATGATCATTGCAATCATGAACAGCCTCTCTCCCATTTACTAGATTTTTCTATCTATCGCCACGTTCGGGTAGTTTTTTTTAAGGCACTAATCACTTTCGATTTGTTTTCGCGATAAAACCGAAAATTGACATCCGCGTGCTTCAGTGTATTAGTAAACCTGTCTATTATGTAATGGTTCAATTACCCGTATTATACACAGTATTGTCATAGTCCTCGTATTTTTGACAATGCAATCAAGCTTGTCTCATTGACCTCTAAAAAGCTTGGCGTGCTCGGCAGAGCAGGAAAGTATTTCATGCCGACACACCGTCTACAACTTTAAGACGCAGGTTCGGAAACACATGAAATACTGTTCCCATCTTTGGGCTGGGGCTCCCCAGTGCCAGCTTTCTCCACCTGACCGCATCCAGCGCAGAGCGGCTCGAATCGTCGACGACTGAGTCCTCTCCGATCGGCTCGCAATACGAATTTACAAAGAATAATGGACTTCACTACTGACTTGTAATATGCTCGTATACACTTCGCAACAAATTAACAGGTCTTCAATATTTTTGGGCATTTATTTGGAATACGGGCTAATTTTTATTAATTTAATGCTAATGCTAAGTCCTAGGAAAGAGTGGACTTAAAAGGTTGCTTGCTATAAAGGAGAAAATAATCTTTTAATTTAAAAATTAATTTCTTGTTATTAGTAATACCCTAGATAATCTTTTTATTAACTGTATGGCAGGTTGAAGGAAAAGGTGAGATCTCATGCCGGACAAGGTGTTAAGCCCGGGGAGCGACTAACGCTCCGGCTGGTAGTTCGGAGCTATTCTATATTATATGCTGCTTTTACTTTGGAACTTTGATAGAACGATTTATTTTCGCTTGTGGCGCGACGACAGCGCCGTCACAGCTGACTTCAAAAAAGGAGGAGGTTAGCAATTCGACTATATTTTTTGTGTGTGTTACCTCAGAACATTTTTCTAGGTGAACCAATTTTGATGATTCATTTTTTATTTGAAAGCTGGTGCTTTTCATCCCATATAAATTTGATTAAGATCTGGCCAGTAGTTTTTGAGTAAACCTTAAGCGTAGATGCTAATATAACTATCTTATATAACTATCGTTATAAGAAAATTGTCCATGAAACGTCTTCATTATTGAAAAATAAAATATAGCATTCCCTAAAAACGAATAAGGTTTTTAATTATTAGTTACTAAAATAACAAATGGTAAAATTAAAAATTTTGTACAATCGACTTTAATATAAATTATCAAATTTATATGAGCCCACATGAAAAGCACCAGCTTTCAAATAAAAAAGAATCAGCGAAATCGGTTCACCGAGAAAAAAATTATAAGTTAACACACATTAAATAAACAGTTGAGTTGAGTACCTCCTCCTTTTTGAAGTCGGTTAGTTACTCTAATCAACTAAGTACTGTCCGAAGCATGAATATTATGTAATAGTATTGTGTTAACGTACTCCATTATGACAACATAAATTTAATTAGTAGTTACTAGCTAATTCGTTAAAATTGCCACGCGACTGTTAAAAAGCTGACCCGTTGAGAAATGGATACTCTATTTCGTAACTTCTAAAATGCTTTTTATTAGTGGTCATTTATTTTTAACTCTATTTTTAATCCGGATCGAATTGGTTTTCGTAACTATGAGTTTTGTGATTGTTCTTTTCTGACATAATACGGCGGCTCCGTGGCGCAGTGGTTTAGCAATGAGTTGTTGCGCCGGGGCCGCGGGTTCGAATCCCGCACGGAACAAGTATTTGTATGGCCTACAAATAATTGTTCCGGATCTGGATGTTTGTCCTCGTGCAATTTATGTTTGTAAACTGCCTCTACTATACAGGAGAAAATCCTAGTGTGGGGGTAATGTTTAAAAAAAAAGTGAAATGAAATGGAATACACAAGCATTATGAATTTTCGACGTTTTTAAAAGTAATAGTT